AAAAAAAGTAAGAAATAGAAAAAAAAAATCCAAGCCTCAATTTGACATCCCTTTAAAAAAACGCTGCTCATACAGTTTTGTCAAAGAAAAATCTCACAGATTTCTTCTTGTATTCAGAGTGTCCTTTCAAAACTCAGCTAATTAGCAAAAAAAAAAAAAAAAGTTTCTCACCCAGCCAACACACTTTCACTCTCGTCTCTTCCTTACCGGAGCTGTCCCGACTTCAGCAGCTATGGAGGCTGCCTCTCCGCCGCCAGCAATAGGACTTCTTCCAGATCGAACCAGGGACTTTGCGATGTCCCTGGGATCCAGGAAATGTGCCCTACACGGTCACCGTCTCTACGGGACGGTTTAGGTCCGTTGGGACCGACCGGGGGCGAAAATATCAGCTGTATCTCGGAGCCCCGAGATACAGCTGTATCGCCAAAACGAAGCTCCGCCTTCTCCCTCGGAAATAATCCTTTTTGTGAGTGGTTTGCTTGCCCAAGTAAGTGATGTTTATCCTGTTCCAAAAGTAGTTGTTCTTCACTTAAGGAACGGATATTGCATCAGGAACTCAGAGTACCCTTTATCAGCTTAAGCTGATATACCAACTGTGCCTCTAACTAAACAGAGTTTTACAACAATTGTTCATATTTTGCTAAGTTTCCATATCAACGATTGTAATGTATTATATGTGGGACTGTTTTAGGAAATGATCAAGAATCAGCTACTTCAAAGCATGGCAGTTAAACTGTTGACTAAAGTATTCAATACATGTCTTCATTGCATGTGCCATCTGAACTTCTCAGACCATAGTAACTCAAAAATTCCAATATAATTATAATTAGCAGTAGTAGTAGTAGTAACAGCAGCAGCAGTAGTAGTAGTTAGATTTCTCTACCATTTTTCTCTAGGAACCAACAGTTTAAATGTCTTACACAAAATTAATCTTGGATGCCTCTAGACGAGATGGGAAGCACAGAGGTCTAATCAATAAAATAAATAATAAAAGTATGTGAAGTAATATTTCTTCCCATGTTTATGAATTAGGATACCCATAGCTTCACTTCAAGCACAAAGTCTTTTGTTTGTGGTGCCTTGTCTGCGAACACTATTTGCATTACTGTTTTTAGAATGTTAGATAAAGGCCTTTTTTTTTCCAGGTATTTTAAAAGCAATTTTAATGGTTTACAATGTTAGTGTTCTAACTGCTATTTCATCACTGTGATTTCATGTTGTATTCATTATTATTATTGATGCTCAAAATAGACCTTACTGACAGGATCATTGTTTATAACTAGCTCAGTGGATTACAATATATAACTTAAGAAACATGGTAATATCATACTTGCCTATTTATTTATTTATTCTAATTTTATGCTACGCATCAAAAAGGCTCTGCAGTGTAGTCAATTAAAGCCTGCTATAAAAAGCAAACCTTTATAAATGTTTATAAACATTTTATCAAATATATAAGATATTGTATAAACTATTTAAAAATACAAAATAGTATTAAAAATTAGATAAAAACAAGCATCAATAGTGTGAAAGTGCTTTGGGCATTCCAACAAAAGTGGAAAGAATCTGTGGATGCTGCAGCCAGGGAGGTGTGCTTACTTCTTCTTCCAGTCTTGTTAATGAGAGTCTGTCTCTCTTTGTTGTGAGCAATCTATAACAAGTTATCAAGTGGAAGTAGAATTATATTGCAATAGAAAGGCAATTGAATACCTGCCTTGACAAGTCCTTCTTTCAGGGTTGGATCTGGTATATAGAGCACTATCTAGAGCAAGGCTGTCAAACTCGCGGTCCATGGACTGAATGCATCATGTGCTGGCCACGCCCATGCCCGGTTTAGCGAAGAGGGAAAAACTTGTGATACATTACATGATGCCTCTGTGATGCGAGTTTGACACCCTGATTTAGAGTAAGGGTCTAGAGGTATTTGTAACAGGAAGATGTGACAATGTCTCCAGAGACTTGTTTTATTTTATTTTTTAAAAAGTTAGGCCTAGTGAGTCCTCGGCTCAACAATGCTGGGAATTGATGCAATCTTCTGCTATTCCCCAAGAAGTTGGCTTACCTGAAGGTTTCCGTGAGGTCTCTGACATCAGAACTCTTAAGATATGTTTTTAATCTTTGCCTTAAGATGTGTCTTTACATTTCCATGGGATTTTATTTTTATCTAGGATTTTGTATCTTCTATTTTTAGGTTTTGTATTTCTTTGCTACTTATCATGAGAAAGCTCAAGACAGAATATAAATATCCTAAATAAATAAATCAGTTACTTTCCTTTCATGTCTGAATTGCATGAAGGCATATTGTTTTGATAAAAGGACTGTGGGAGTGGGCTGCCGACTTGAACCCCAAGTATGCCTGGTGGTTTGATCCTGTTTTCAATGTTAATGCTTTAACCATGGAAGTTTATGCATTTATAGGTTTTACGTAATAATGATTTCAAGTGTCAGATTGATGAGATCTGGGAAAATATTATTAAAAATAAAATACTGTTTACTTAGACTTTTCAAAAACTTTTAATTATTTTTCCCCAAATTTTCCTAAGCAAACACTAATGGTCATGATAAAAAAGAGAAATGCTTGTTATGGATCAGTTAGTAGATAAAAGATATAATGCACAAAATAGAAATAAATAATTCTGATAATGATTGTAGAAAGAAGGTTTGGACTTGCTCTTGGGATTTCCATATGTATGTAGACAGTATGGAAAATAGTTCAGGCTTTGTCACATCTAGCTGGACCAGTGTTTCTCAACCTGAGCAATTTTAAAATGTGTGGACTTCAACTCCCAAAATTCCCCAGCCAGCCATGATGGGAGTTGAAGTCCACACAATCTTAGAAACATTAAATGTAACTATTCTGTATGATACACATTACTGAGTATTGCATTGTATTTTATTTATTTATAAAACAGAAAATACAATTTCAGAAATGATATAGTTGTATATTCAATAATCTATACCATTAACCTGTACCATTGTTTCTATTACTTTAATCTGAATACAAGTTGAATAGAAAACTATTATTTGAGAGTACATCTATAGATTTAAAAATATAATTCAGCAATTGAAGTTTTGTAAATTCAGTTTTTCCCCCTAGAAGGTAAAAGATTATGTTAAATGGTGAATCTTATAGAAAGAAAAAAAGCTACAGCTTTCTTCAGTTGAATGTTGGTAATATATTTCACATTTTTGTATTCTGCAGGTTAGAAAAGATTTGGAAATTGGTCTGACAGAACAATCATGATGGGATTAAGGAATTCAACTGCCTTGCCTGGTGGTCTTCTCCTTTTAATTGTTGCACTTTTGCTATGCCATGTGGACAAAGTACGTACAGAACATCAACCTGAAGAAACCAATCATTCTCAAGAATGTTCTGGTACCTATTTCTGTAAGAAAGGTGTAATTTTGCCAGTTTGGGAACCTCAAGATCCTTCATTTGGTGATAAAATAGCAAGAGCTACTGTATACTTTGTGGCCATGGTCTACATGTTTCTAGGAGTGTCTATTATAGCAGATCGTTTCATGTCATCCATCGAAGTTATTACTTCCCAAGAGAGAGAGATAACAATCAAGAAACCCAATGGTGAGACCAGCAAGACAACAGTAAGAGTTTGGAATGAAACTGTCTCGAATTTAACATTGATGGCTTTGGGCTCTTCTGCACCTGAGATCCTCCTATCTGTCATTGAAGTGTGTGGTCATGGCTTCAAGGCAGGAGACCTTGGGCCAAGCACTATTGTAGGAAGTGCTGCCTTTAATATGTTTGTCATTATAGCCCTTTGTGTTTATGTTGTTCCTGATGGAGAAATCAGGAAGATTAAACATCTTCGTGTGTTTTTTGTCACTGCAGCTTGGAGCATTTTTGCCTACACTTGGCTATATTTAATTTTGTCAGTTATATCACCTGGGATAGTAGAAGTCTGGGAAGGTTTACTCACTTTCTTCTTTTTTCCTATTTGTGTGGTATTTGCATGGGTTGCTGATCGAAGGCTTTTATTCTACAAGTATGTCTACAAGAAGTACAGAGCTGGAAAGCAGAGAGGCATGATAATTGAACATGAGGGTGAAGGGCCACCATCTAAGGCTGATATTGAAATGGATGGAAAGATAGTTAATTCCCATGTTGAAAGTTTCTTGGATGGCACTCTAGTCCTAGAGGTGGATGAGAAGGATCAAGACGATGAAGAAGCAAGGAGAGAAATGGCTAGAATCCTGAAGGAATTGAAACAGAAGCATCCAGACAAAGAGATTGAACAGCTAATAGAACTAGCTAATTATCAAGTTCTGAGTCAGCAACAAAAGAGTCGTGCCTTTTATCGCATTCAGGCTACTCGGTTAATGACTGGAGCTGGCAACATATTGAAGCGACATGCAGCTGACCAAGCACGAAAAGCAGTCAGCATGCATGAGGTCAATTGTGAAGTGGCAGACAATGACCCTGTCAGTAAGATCTATTTTGAGCAGAGCACCTACCAATGCCTTGAGAACTGTGGCACAGTAGCTCTAACAATTGCTCGTCGAGGTGGTGATTTGACCAAAACAGTGTTGGTTGATTTCAGAACAGAAGATGGCACAGCCAATGCAGGGTCTGATTACGAGTTCACTGAAGGGACAGTGGTATTTAAACCAGGTGAGACACAAAAAGAAATAAGAGTTGGTATAATTGATGATGACATATTTGAGGAAGATGAGAATTTCCTTGTTCACCTCAATAATGTGAAGGTGTCAGAGCAATCTGAAGAAGGTGTTCTAGAGGGCAACCACATTGCTACTGTAGCTTGCCTGGGGTCACCTGTTACAGCCACAGTTACAATCTTTGATGATGATCATGCTGGCATATTTACTTTTGAGGAACCAGTCACTCATGTAAGCGAGAGTGTGGGGACCATGGAAGTGAAAGTGCTACGGACATCTGGAGCTCGAGGAAATGTTATTGTGCCATACAAAACAGTTGAAGGCACAGCCAAGGGAGGCGGAGAGGACTTCGAGGACACCTATGGAGAGCTTGAATTTCAGAATGATGAGATTGTGTAAGTAGCGCTTAAACTTTTGGGGCTTATAAACGCTTGTTTGCTCGCCTATCTGATAAAATGTTCTATTCAGAGCAATTCATAATTAATGCTGCATCAAAAGCTAAAGACACTTGTAGAGTGACATTTCTTTAAAATATAGCTCAAAAATGCTGTCCTGAAGATTTCATGTGTGCCATGAAATAGTATGTATGTGAAAGAGTGCGATCAAAATGAGTGAATTCTGAATGTGCGAATATAAATGAAAGTATGTCTTGCATTGAAACTACTCCATGACCTTATCACCCTTTCAGTTATTCCAGGCATTATTAACTGAGAGTAATAAAAAGCAGTGCGGAAAATTGTAGTTTCCTTTTGTAAGCACAGACATATCCTGAGCTCATGTCATGGTCTAGAATGCCTTATATTTAGAACTAGCTTAGGATGGGTCTCCTATTTACAAAAAGAAAAAGACTAATAAATACAGATAGGTTGCAAGTTCAGAGCGGGTTGTCATTAGCCTTTGTGACATTATGAAACATTTATAGTTTGCTCTTTGAAGTGAATGTTACCATGTGGGGGGAAGGTCCAATTAGGCAAGGCAGCCAAGTTTGACAGTTTGCAAATATGAAAGCAGTTAAAAAGGAAGCATTGCTGATAAGCATTTCCTGGCTGCTAGGAAACTTTTCTCCTCTCACTTTTTTTCCCATGTATGTATGGAATCCACAAATACACACATCTTTTTTTCAGCTGATACTTTTGCCTGTGTCCTCAGAAAGAAAAATTCTAATGTGTATTTGTTTTAAGTATTTGCTCAGGCAATGGCAGCCAAGTTCAAGCCTCCATTTGATCATGAAAGTTACTGGGTAACTGTGGGCCATCCCAAACTCTTACAGTATGGCTGATAACAGATAATGTTGTTAAAATAAAAAAGGCCAAAGTCCTATAGCCATTTCTTCATTATCCCAAAGCTCACCTAACTTCAACAAAATGGATGGACCAGTTAAATTGATTCTGTTTGCTTGAAGCCTAACATGGGCAGTTCATAACCTCAACATCTAATCTTAATACATGAAATATATGTCCTTAATCTAAGGAGGTTTTGTATAATTGTATGCCATTGAGTCATATTAAGCCATGAGTGCATAGGAGATCTCTCTCTCTTTTTCTCTCTCTCTTTCTCTTTCTCTCTTTCTCCCCTCCTCCCTCCCTCCCACTCCCTCCCACACTTCCTGAATGCATAATGTGTCAGTGAAATATGATGTATAATGGCAGTTGCTCTAGGAAATTATGCATAGGACCTTTGTGTATGTGTGCCACACAGCAATTAAACTAAGCCCTTCGTTTTCTTTCTGAATGCATAATGTGTCAGTGAAATATAATGTATAAGGGCAGTTGCAATAGGAAATTATGTAATATTTTAAAACATTGCCCTTCCTGTATTTTTAAGCTTGAATTGTGTAGAAATAAATAAAAGAGAAACAATCCTTTGTATTCTAGAAAAGAAAGGAAAAACAACAATATCAGGATGTAGAAGTATTATATTATACACAAATTAAGATAGATGTTTCTGCTGATTAAGTAGAGTGCATATAAAATGCAGTCCATGTATGATTGCTGAGGAGTGTTAGAAAGGCAGAGCATTTTTGTAAGCACCAATCTTTGATCTTGGGACTTGTCAGCTGACTCAATGAATCTGTGCTTCATTTTTTATTAAAGATGCATGACCTTTTATCAGATGTAAATTAAAAAATGTCCTCCATCTTTTTGAAAAGAAAAAGATATAGAGGAAATGAGACTAATAGTAATACTTTTCCATAACTTTAGGAAAGATTTGCTGCTGGCTATAAAAGGATGCAGATTACGTTCATTGAAGGTATCACTGTGCTTGTAGCAGTTGAATGAGAAAATGATATCCAAAATAATGAAGCTTTTAAGAGATTTTTGCACTGTTGTATTCCTTTTTCTTTCCGATATTTGGCATATACAGTTCTTGTAGCTATCACCATATAGAAAAATAAAATTCAAAATTATTTTTTGTTGGTTTAACAATAATACCTAAAAGAAAAGCTTCAGGTTTCATTAATATTTGCACTTTAAGTACTTTCTGCATAACCATTATTATATTTATCCAATATGATTTAGCATGTATACAAGACCATCACATGTGATAAAATGTTCCTGGAGTTTGATTACATTTTCAACATTTATTGGAAATTCCATTATAATTCTTGCCAATCTGTCTGGAGTCAAATACCATTAAAAGAGGGAGGGAGAGAGAGAAAGAGAAATAATCTTATTAAAAGTTTTCTTTCAAACTGTAAATCAAAGTAAACTTTAAACCTTAATCCACATATTTTCCTATTGATCTAACCTTACCTAGGCTTTTCACCCATTGTATCATACAGTCCTTAACATATTCATCTTCCAAATTCATCCTAAGTAGCATTTTATAAACTTTAGAAATCAAGTGGTATCTCCTGAGTATAAATTCCATTCCAATTCAGATTTGTCAGCTGCAAAAACAAAACTTTTTTAAATCAAGTTTAAACCTTTCAAATAGCCTATGATAATTAAACCTATCACAATTAAGTAATCACTTACTAGTTGTTCCCTAGTTTTTACCTTAGGTTCTTCTTCTTCCAATAACAATAGGTCATGATATGTAATCTGTTTGGATTCAATTAACATTTCTTTTCTGTATAGTACTTCATGTAGTGATATCCACAATGATATCTTAGTGGAACGGCTTTCTTTTATACTTCACCCAGATACAACCGATCAACTGCCTAATAAAATGTTTATTAAAACCTTTATCTTATTTTATCATAAATAAGGAAGCCACACAAATCTTAGATCAAAGCCTTCAAGATTTAACAGCCTTTGATTCTCAGAGTCATCCAGTCTTTCAATCATACCAAACAAGATGCAACATAATACAATCTAAGATCAGGCAAACCAAGACCTCCCCTTTCTTTCACATCTTGTAAAAGTTTATATTTAATTCTTGATTTTTTTTGTTTTGTCAGATAAATTTAAAAATATCCTTATGCCATTGTTTAAAGGAGATGTCTTTAATCAAAATTGGCATAGCATAGCATAGAATTGGAAGGGACCTTGGAGGTCTTCTAGTCCAGCTCCTTGCTCAAGCAGGAGAACCTATACAATCTTAGATAAGTGACTGTCAAGCTCCTCTTAAAACCTCCAGTGAATGGAGCATGCACAATTTCTGAAGGCAAGCTGTTCCACTGGTTAATTTACTTACTGTTAGGAAGTTCCTCCTTAACTCCAAGTTGCTTCTCTCTTTGATCAGTTTCCAACCATTATTTCTTTTCCTGCCCTCTGGTGCTTTGGAGAATAATTTGACCCCCTCTTCTTTGTGGCAGCCCCTCAAATACTGAAATACTGCTATCATGTCACCCTTAATTCTTCTTTTCTTTAGACTAGCCAGACCCAAAATCTGCAGCTATTCTTCATATGGTTTTGTCTCCAGACCTTTGATCATCTTAGTTGCTCTTCTCTATAGTCTAAAGGAGAAATAGCATTCTGGGTAAGATAGTCATTTTAACAACAAAAAATTTTCCCATCTGCAAATCCAATTTTAACTCACTCCATATTTTAACATAGTTGTTTTTATACAATATAGCAGTAATCTTATTGATTGTTGTTATGATTTTGCTTGTAATAAGAAACCAATTCTGCATGATAAGCATCTGAACAACAAATGATTTCTCAGATAGGTCAGTAAACAGAACTCTTTTAAAAAGGAAGGGGGATAAAAGGGGAATAAAAAGGACAGAGATACATTAGAGCTGCTTGCTGGGAAAGCTTTAAGTCTAAAATTCTTAGTTAAAATCCATAGAATATATGGGGCCCAGCTCTGGTTTCCCTTAGTCTCCTACATTCATTTCATCGGAATCCAACCATATAAAAATATTGCCATTCCATCCATTATATGTTTTCTGTTTATTTTTTCCTCACAGTATATCAAACAACTTCAGGGTAAACTTAAAGTCATTGTTTATGTTAAAGAAAAATCTGTAATTTATTTTCTGATACATTCAGTAACATTCTATGGGTAAGGAAACAGAGTATACCTATCAAACAGCAAGGAGCTACAAACATCTAAAATCATGATTAGTTACAAAGCCCAAAGACAAAAATATATGCCATGCTTACCTGTCAATCACAAAACAATAATCTTTAGCTGGTTCTAACTGTTTAACCAAATTTCACTTGAAGCCTAACCATTAACACACAGTTGAAACTATGTCACAAGCTTGCTAATTAATGGTGTTCTACTTAAAATTCTAGTATCTTCAGGAACTCTATGCTTAAATGTTAATTAATATTAATATTCATATTGCTTAAAATCTCCCCCCACCAATTTTTGAATAGAGTAGTCTTCTAATATCTGTTGTTTTGTCAATTCCAAATATGGACATATCCTTTCTTTTAGTGGTTAAGGAACACACATGATAAAACTTAAAATTATTCACCAGGGTTGAGTAATTGTGGTAGCCTGTTTTCTTCTTTCATTTTTAAAATTTTCACCTGAATGTGAGAGGTTTTGAGATTCCAATAAATCAGCTTTGTATACTTCTGAAAACGCTCATCAAGAATTTGACATGAGAAAGAGTAATATCTTTGAATCTTAAATGCTAATGCTGCTCCAAATGGAAGAAGGAAATCTAATCTCTTAGAAGGATAGGTCCATTAATGAAAGGTGGAAAACAGATTTCATCAATTTCCCTTCCTATCCCATATCATGGGAGGGACATCAGAGATGGAAGAAAGAATATTTAACAATCAATAATCCTGTCCTTCCCTTTTAAATAGAAACCTTCTTTGTATTTTTAGTCCATCTGTGGTTTGATGGAGCCCTCCTGTTTATAGAAAAGCTACCCTGGATCCAAAGCACTATATCCATATCTGAGTGATTGCAGCTGTAATGATTCTTAACTGTTTTTAAGAGTAAGCTGTTGAAGAAGAAAATTACTGATTACCTTTCTATTTATATGGTAG